TTGTTAGTGCATGGGAAAAATTTAGGTATCCGAGCTTTAAATTCAGGAGTTTTGGATGAGGGACACGGGAGGTCCTGAACGCGAGTCCATGGTTCTGTCCGGTCCGCATGTCTGTGGTTCTGTCCACTCGACTATGGTCTGCGCTCGGTACCCAGTTCAGAAGTGCGTTCGCGAGAGCTGTTGTACAAAAATTGTACATTTCATAGTTAAACCACTACAACGCGGCCACAGCTACCCCGGGGCAGAGCGGAGGATGTTAATCCTGTTCAGAAACGGCATAATTCATTTTCAAAAACGTCTCTATCACTTTCACTTCTCACTCGCCGCAAAGCTCTTGTCTCGCTCCCTCCCACATTTGTTGGTCGCATCCAATTTTACCTTTCTCGCCACAATGCTGACCTGTTACAGCCAGTGGTCGCATCCAATTTTTCAGTTTCAAAGTACTTAGCTATCTGCTGCCATCTACTGATTTGAAAAAGTACTACATGGTTACTCACAGTTCAAAACAAGTCACCGCTCGTCAACAGCGAATGCAGCTATTTTTAGACAAAGTAGACGAATTTCTCACGGCACACCAGACAATATCATACGACACACTAGTGTGCCGCGGCACAGTGGTTGAAAAACACTGCTCTAAGACATGTCAATATTCTTTCGCATGCAAGTATCGCCACATATTGCTTGCCTCTCTTCCGTTTGTCTGCCCAAAGGCAGCTGTGGCTACAGTAGTAGTTTATCACCACCATTTATGGAGTGAAATAATAATGCAGTGAAGTATTTCTAAAAAACTGTAGCATTATCATAATGCAATTTAGAAGAAGAAATAAACCAAGTAATATCACAAAAAAGGTTAGAATAGTCAGAGGCACAATTCATTTATTTTTATATAATAATAAAAAATCCAGATGTGAATCATCTCTCCTTTCACTCAGTATTGTTTATATTTGTTTAGGGTCCCGAGAGAACCCCGACCCTCCTGGGTTAATGTTACATAAATGGGACATATACTGTACATCGCGTTCTTGTTTATAATGAGCAACTTATGTTGTAATAAAGACCATAGCCTTGACAACCCTGAAAACAAAATACATAGAAGTTCAAATAAATGAGGAGACAGCCTGGCTCCCATCCCATTTAGATAACCTCATAGCCATGTAATGAATAGCTACGTTCCATCCATTCCCATCTCCTCATCCATCCATCACCAGCTGTTTAAGATGCTGATCTGAGAATGCAATTTAGCAGCATCATGTGTTTGCACCATTAGAGTCAAGGAAAAGACAATGCAGATGAATAGACACCGACAAAGTGTGTGTCAAGACGTTGTGTTGTTGAGTGGTCCATCAGGAAGAGTATGTGCAATCACACTTTGTCCAATAGGGTAGTCTGCAGTCGGTATCAAGCACTCGGTAGCACAAACAGTAGCAAGTGTAGGTGCTGTGTGAAAGTAGACAAAGATATGTGACACAATCTAATTATATACTCCCAGAAAAACCAAAAATCAAAAGCATTACATTTTGCAAGGTAGCTACCACATGTAGCCACTAGGTGGCTAAAGAAAAAAATACATCACGTTTGTACATTCAAAAATGCCTGTTTTAAATGTCCCTTGATTTGGCCTGGCTCCAAGCCCCAATTGGATGAAGCTTGTTCCCACCAACAAAAAGAAAGTATGGTGAGGGCGACCGCTTTTGTTTTCCCCAACGCCTGCTGTATGGCATCGGAGAAAACAACAGCGTATTCTCTACAGAGCATGCATCTTTTGAAGTGGAAAGGCATAATTTTGCCGCACAGGGACGTGTGATAAAGATAGATTGACGTTGTTAAAATGGCTTTGCGTTAAACCAAAGTTCAAGGTTCAACTTGATTGTTCCCTCAGGGAAATGTCACAAACATACAAGACACACACAACATCAGGACAATCCACTCCAACACAAATCAATATACTAGTAAAAGTATAACAATCAATACAATAAGCAACAAAGTACATAAAAGGACAAAAGCGCGAGTGCAGTGCAGGTTAAGAAGTAAATTGCAAACAAATAATACTAATGCATCGGTTTTATATAGCGCTTTTTGCACTCAAAGATGCTTCACATGTCATTCACTCCATACACAGTGGTGATAAACTGCTACTGTACCCATATATTCTTTATGTGTTTTAACTGTTGATTCTCTGATCTGTGTTGGTGATTTCAATGGTTTTGTTAAGTCCTCTGAGATGACTGCTGTTGTGATTTAGGGCTATACAAGAATAAATTGTATTGTATTGCATTGTAGCCACCACCACACCATCCAGTGTCTTGCCTAATGACACAACGGCAGTTTGGCACTTTACAGCTGCCTCACTGTGGCTCCTGGTGTTCCCAGGGGTTAAGTGTCTTAAGTGTCTTGCCAAGGACAACGACCGCAGACATCAGTGGGAGTCGGTGGAGAAAGTCTTGTGGTGGGCTCGAACCCATGACCTCAGGCCAAGACAAGATAAGATATTAAGAGATATTAAGAAATCTCACAAGGAGGAGAAATTGTCTTGTCACATTTGGCAGGGATAGAAACACTCACACACATTGTGCAAAAAAGGGAGGAAATGTGCAAACATGTTAAATGCAGGATATATTATGTACATAAAAAAGTGGCAGTTTAAAAGTGCTCTACCAACTGAGCCACTGTCCCAAAGAGCTAAGGAGCATTAAATTCACTGTGCAGTAAGTGTGAAGGTTGTTTGATGATGCGTTTAGCTTGTGCCAGAGCAAACATTTCAAGGATGGATTTCAAGGAAGAATTTGTAATAAGCCTCTTGGTTATAGATTTACATTGGACTGTTAGAGAACCAAACCAGGTGATTGGAAGTATGGCGTTATCGAAACAAGTCATAATTCTGTAGCTCACAACAAACAGTCTGAGTCTCCTGAGGATGTGAAGCCTCTGAGCATTTTTTGCACCAAGCATCTACATGAATGTTCCACTTTAGCTGGTTGTCCACCAAGATATCTAATTGACCTAATCGATCTGCCTGGCGCCCATGATGACTGGATCAGGGGCAGTTTCTTGGTTAAAAAATTTAATCCTTTGTTTTAGCTGCGTTGACAATAAAGTGAGGCTCCTCAAGGCGGGTCTCACAAGAAGAAACCTCATAGCAGCATAGTAGTGTATGTGGATGGACAAACATCTACTGTCACTAGACTCAATATTATTGTCATCTGTGAAAATCTTATTATTTGGGTTTTCACTCCTGCATCCATTGGTGTACAAAGTAAATAAAATGGGAGAACTCACAGCTCCTTAGGGAACCGTTTTATTACATTACATCTTAGCTGTTGACAAAGAGGTGTTTAACCTGACTTTCTCTAACCTGTTAGTTAACAAGGAGAAGAGCCACTTGGCCAGATTTTGTGACAAGGCTGGTTAAGGCCCCTGGTCTGGAGTCTTTATTTGAAGATAGAGCTGAAGAGCTGGAACTGAAGGACCTCATAGCTCGAAGCAGACAACTGAAAAAATTAAAACCAAGCCTCTAAAAGTTCCAACTGATGTTTTGAAAAAACACATAGCTAAAAATAAACTTGGACACACTCATCATTTGATAGCTAAAAATAAACTTGGACACACTCATCATTTTGTTTGTCAAATCTTTGGAAAAAGTCAATTAAATTATTGACAAACTCTTCATTCTTCATAGAGTCCCAAAGCTTTTTTTGTCCAAATAGTCAGTGCCCCCTTTGTTGTTGTTAAGGCATTTAAAGATGCAGTCAATGATTTATCCAGACGTAATTTTTAAAATACTGTGGGGAAACGTCCCTAAACCCCAAAAGTAGTCAAGTTTTCATGTGTTTTCAAATAGGAATGGACATGACCAGATGCCTGTAACCTTAAAACATAAATCATAAATATTTTGGAGCGGGCCGATAGAACGAACCCCCCCATCCTTGCTTGCTTCTTTGTTGCGATTTTGTTGAGTCGTTTGGCCAGCTACCAACTTTGAAAAGAAGAGAAGTAAATAACCGAGTGCACCAACATGTTCAGTAGACTTGTGAACAATTTACACTTATTCAGATTTTGTAGGCAGTGTTTGAGTGGCACCCACAACCCACCCCTTTCTCTGTTCTCTGAATTTTCCTTAAACTCAAATATTGCAAATTGTACAGATCAAAGATAGTGTCCATATTGCTTTTTTACAGGCATGTTCATTCATCTCCATGTAGTCCTTCACCACCTTTACAGTTCAGGTGATGCAGTCCATACGTTGTTCTCATTCTGGGCCTTTAAAACCCAACACTGGCAAATCAAAGCAGCAGACCAGAGCAGATCAAAGAACAGGCACTGGGCCATGCTTTTCTCAATATGTGAAGACTGGCAGGGCAACATGAATATCCATTTACTGTCTTTGTCTATTACACAAGACAGCTCTGGTGCACTCTGCCTTCAAGTGCTCATAATTAAACATATGGGAGATACAGGGACTTCAGTAACAAAATGGCAGTAGAGTTCCCATCAGGATTTTGCGTTTGTGCGTTTGTAATTAACGTTCTATTGTTTTAATGTCTTGGCTGCAACCATTTTTGTTATACTTCCTGGCAGGCTTTGTTCCGACTCTCCCCAGTGTACCTCGTTGTGGGCTGATTATGTATTCATAGAAAAAAAATAAAAAATACGACCAGGAGCCTCCCGAATCCTGTCTTCCGTCACATGGCATGCATGCTCTAACAGGGAATTGGGAACAATCTTGTGGAAAGCAATATTTACACAAATCAAATAATTTGTACAACTGTTCAGTAGTATTGTTTTGCCATGACTGTTGAAAATGTTCAATTACAGTTCAAGCAGAACGCACGCTGGAGCTTAGCTCCTCCAGAGTGTTAATGTAAATAAAGCTGCTCCAACATGACTGTTGGCTGTCCCAGCTTATGAGCAGTTTATTGGAGTCCTTCGTCTCAGCTTGACCCTATCATGTTTTGATACATTTGTGGGTATTTCTGAATCATTCAAAGTTGTGGTTAACTCACGTTTGGCGGCTTTCTGTTGTGAAGTCTGTGTCTACTTTGTCTCCATCACAGTGATTACCGTAGTCCTGCAGCTCGGGGGCTCGGCGCAGTCTCTGTCCGCGGTGCTGAACGCGCTCCGCATTCGCCGCGCCACGACCTCTCCATTTGGGGAACGGGTCACTATAGTGCTCGTAGTCGTACTCCGTATTCAACCGCACGTCATGCCGCGAATCGAACGGAGAAATGGGGTCCTCGCTGTACTGCTGGAACTTTGTAGGGGCATGTTGAGTGGAGTAGTCCGGGTCTTTGCTCTCTGTTGATGGGTTAAGACACTCAGGAGAAGCCAGATACGGTGGGTCTGTATCCCCAAGCAGCGGAGAAGCAGAGGAAAAAACGTCCAGGGGCCGCGGTGATGATGGGGATCCTCGGGGATGACCGAGGCTCCGCGGCGGGGAAGGAGACTCCGAGAGACGCACTCTCCCGCCGTCGCTTTCTTCTCCTTCGTCAGACATGGAGCCTTTCCCTGGGCAACATATACACTACTTTAAAGGATGCCAGCTCAGTGACAACCTCTGAACCACGCTTGTCAAAGTTTCAGCCACACAAGTTTGCAGAGAGCGGCGCAGTAACGACCAGCTCAGCCTCCTACCAACCCCCGCCAGTCAGGAGCGCGCACTAATTAAAGAGCACCCAGAGAGCGTGCGCAACAAGCTGGCCCTTTCAAAATGGACGGAGACAGACATAACTGCCCCACTTCACAAGCTCAGGCGCAACGTAATCAAACGACGTCCCCCAAAGCAGATCATGCAGCCTATTGCCCTATTTCATAATTGAAATGGATACACAAATTAAAGATTTAATAACACAAGTATTATACTTATGTGTCCATATGTTGAACACAGCTGCACACCTACTCAGGAAAATCATACCTAATTCTGTTAAGTCTTTGAAAACCGATGATGGATTATTTGGAGTTGCCTCTGTAGACATGGGTGACCGATATGCTGCACTGGCTAAGAGAAAGCTTTTTGCATGCATAAGTTTGCATTATATGAAGATAAGTATCAACATCTGGCCCAGACACAACACATTTACTAGGCGAGTGTAGTACATCAATAAACTCCAGTGAATGCTAATGCTTCACATAAAGATCATGGAACCACCTCAAATGAACCATCAAACCAAGCACACAGAGACCACATTACAAAAGTGCAGTGATATAATTTAAAGTTGGGAAGTGACATTCCTCCTGCAGATCTGACTGTTACATTGCACTGTGGATAATTTATGGTGTGTCTCCTTCATACTCTTCCAGATCAACTGTGAAGCTTGTCCCAATAATTTACTGGAGGTGATGATTATAATGTAAGCAGCTCAATGCTCTCCATAATCCTGTGGACAGGTTTCCAATAACTGTCAATTTGAAGGACATGGTAAATTATTGGCCCTTTATGACAGACAAAAATGTATGGTGTATGCAAATGAAACACGACTGATGTAGATAGCAGCAATTTGGTTCAAAAACATTGATTCTCCCGGACAGAATGTGAGCAAAAATAAAAGGTTATGAAAATGAGGCCGTATAGCAATGTTTAGGTATAGAGTAGACTGTTGAGCACAAGACACATTGTGACAATAATTGGGTCCATATTGTCTTCATCTAAATATATATTGAAAACATTTTATACCTGCAAAGAATAAGGCAGAGTATATGATGCTTTGCTCTTGCTGTCTGCTCTTCATTTTAGCAACATTATTCCATTATTCTATGGGAAGGTAAAAAACCATTGCATAAACTAAATAGAATCAGACTCAAAAACTCTAAATAGTTTGGCAAATTGTATAATGAACTTATTGGTTATGAGCCTGGTTTCAGAGCTCTCTGCATTTTAACATTTTTTCAACAACAGTTTTTGTCCTGTTTATAACCAGAAACAAAGACCTGTGTTTGTTGCTTAGTTTTTAAGGACCACAACAAAATACAACTGTGAAGTGAAATGCACATGGCTTCATTCAGTTAATTAAATATCTTAATGACTGCTAAATGCTCACATCTTGCCTTAATCTAAACAAGTGTAAAGCGCTTTGGGTGACCTTGGTCTTTAAAATGCGCTATGTAAATAAACATTAATTAATTACATACTAATGAATCGTTTAGTTTTTCGACTTTACATTGGTCACTATAGCATCACTGAGTCCAAAGAGCACATCTGAGAGATTAGCCTCAGGGATTCGGTTTTGGAGAAAGAAAGATTTACCAAGATTGGGCCATCTCACAGAGCACAGTTGAAGCCATTATTTGGAAATGGAAAGAGCAAACTTATCACAAGACGGCTGTCCACCTGAACTAACAAGCCGAACAAGGACAGCCATGTGACCCAGGATGATTCTGGAGGAGAAACCAACTTCTGCACCCGAGCGGCGGGAATCTGTACATGGGGTTAATCACTATCTGGCCTTTATGGTCGAGTAGCAAGCAGAAAGCTATTATTGGAGGAAATCGATCAGAAATCCAGAAAGCTCTTATTGGCTTATTGGCATGGTCAGTCCACTCCCTCTACAGTCCATGGTTTAGACATGTTTTAGATCTGGTTCAGTCTTGATTTGGATTGTGTCTAATCGCTGGATGCAGAATTTGTGTATGCTCTGTGAACTTTTAAAATACTAGCTGTGGAACTCCATTCTTTGTATGCACCAACTTTGCCACTTTTGCAAACAATATATAGGCTACCTTTTTAATGATATGCTATTTTTGAATTAGGTACACCAATCGGTACTAATTTACACAATTCTTATATAATCATATTGTTAGGTTTATACAGTTACAAGCAAATTAGGAAAAAATCATTCAAAAATATATTAGTTTTTACAACAACATTTGAGTGTTGTATATGAGCCCAGCCTTTCACACACTGTTAGTGCAAATCATGTCACACGTACGAAGATATACTTCATTGATCTCACAGTAAAACCGTGTTTAAAGTACACTGTGAAACCCCACAACAAATCAATGGATCAAATGTGCTGAAGAGAAGACAGGGCAGATTCTATTAACCTCTGCAACGCTTGACGACTTGATTATTGCCTTGAGATCTACTCTTAATCTATTCATACATAGATTATTCGCTTTATTAAGAAAATTCCACTATTAACCCATACTTGATCTTGAACCGTTATCTTTAGGGCATATTCATATATCTATTTGCTTGTCTCTATGCAGGGTTAGCCTTGTTTAGTCATAGCACCTTAGTGGCACCACCTGCTTGTCTGCATACTAGAGATGAGAATTAAAACCAAGAATTTAATCCACAACGCCCTTGCTCCTCATCTGCTGCTTACAAGAAGTGCATTTGAGCGACGGACTGAAAAATACATGTAAAACACGCATTAAAACATCCATTCATTTTGTCTGAACAAGTGGTTTACATTTCACGTGACCTTGAATTAAAATACAATTAAAAAAACATACTTTCATTACCAGCCTGCTTCCCATCCTTTCAGACATGTGACCTCTTCGAAAGCTTTAGTGTGAAGATTTACGGGAAATAAATTGCGCTTTTGATCTCCAGGTTGAGCTACTTGAGCAGAGCAGTGGAGTCAGTGATTTTCTATGGGAAAAAAATATTTAGGATTTCCCGTCATAAAGTGAGTGAAGACTTTGGACATAACAAAGGTTAAACAAAAGGCGGACATCGCTCTAGGGCTCATTTTCTTTCATCGCTTCAAAATACTAACTTTGAACAGGCTATTTAGATTTTGTTAGGTTCATACAACTGAAGGATTTTATTTGTACTCTTTTTAATGCACTTTGGCTATTTAGGATTTTAATCCCATGTGAGATTAATGTTGTAATGTTTTCAATTACTTGTGTAATTGCAATTGTTTATTTTATTGATATTTCTTGTGATCTTGATTTTTGTTTGTTTTCATTGCCCTGTGGCATTTAATCATATTTTTCAATGTTTATTTACACGTTAATGTATGGGTTGTTAGGCACTTTGTATTGCCTTGTGCAGAAAAGGCGCTCTACAAATACAAATTGAATGTTTGAACTATGTTGTGTACTAAAAATCTTTCTAAATACTACAAATTAAGTCCATTAGCATTAGTGTTGTAGCTGAATATCAGTAGACTTCATAAATACACAAAAAAAGACCACATTCACAAAGCAATTGAGCCATTACTGACCTTACTTAGCATTCTGAAATAGTCCGGTCCATACCTACAATCATTTTTGTCACTTGCTCTCTTGCGGCTTAAGCAACCAAAGATGGGTCTCACTAAAGCTCTTACTTGAAGCAAATAGTTCTTTTTTACGGCACATTCCCTTCATTGCATTATTAACAAACTCTAATTCGTCACCTCTCCAGTGTTCCCCGATGGCAGCTTAGTCACTTCTGTTCTGCTGTCTGCCAAAAGGCATTTGTGCTCCCGCGGTGAGGAACGGCAGATGTAGTGGTGGAGAAATGCCAACTCACTATTGTGGAAATAAAGTTTGCTATGCTTGCAGAGGTATTTAATAATGATTACTGGGGATTTCACTCAAGGCAAGAAACAGATGGAAGGAAGCTCTGAGTTGTTGATATCGGAAAGGAAAAGCAAAGTTGGTCAATCATACGTTTACAAGATGGCAATAATTGTATTATTTCTTCTTGCAAAATATGCTCTACTCTAGTCAACAAACACTGGATAGACAGACCAGAAATAGATTTAACATGTTTTGTCTATCTTGCTCTCATCCTCTAGCTGCAAATCTTAAAAGTATACTCACATACTTTCAACGTGCTCAAATACTTAATAGGGTTTGGGTCTTAATCCTGGTTTAGCCCAGGGTTTGGGTCCTCGTCCTGGTCGGTCCTGAGGTCTGGGTACTCGTCCTGGTCTGGTCCAGGGTCTTAGTCCTCCTCCTGATCTGGGTCCTCGTCCTGGTCTGCTTCGGGGTCTGGTCCGGGTCAACGTCCTGGTGTGGTCCAGGGTTTGGGTCTTAGTCTTGGTCTGTTTTGAGATCTGGGTCTTAGTCCTGGTCTGATTCAGGGTCTGAGTCTTAGTCCTTTTCTAGTTGAGGGTCTGGGTGTTGGTCCTTGTCTGCTCTGGGGTGTAGACTGGGATCTCGGCCCTTTTTTCTGGATTGAAATCTCTTGAGCCTGAGACACAACTATATATTTTGTTTTCACTTGAACTATGTCGAGTCATTGTTGTATCATTCCAAACAAAGCTGGTCCATAAAAAAGCTCAATCATCGTCATTAAAATACTTTCTCTTCACAGGGGACCAGCCTCTGTGATTATAGAGACATTTTCTCTGATTTCCCCTCCCCCATGTGGACATATTACAGCCCCGTCTATGTCTTTGAGAGAGGCTTTCACACCAGGATTGGAGACCGTGTCGTCCCATTGGGGGATACTATCAAGAGTCCAGGACCAAGGACAGAGATGAGGAAAGAGTGAATGCTTCCTCAAGCTTGTAATGGTGTTAACGCTCAGTACTCTACGGAAGGTAGGGCCAGTTCACA